TTTTTGAGTAGTTGAGTTTTGCGCCTGATAGGGCCTCCGATATGTAGTATATTTGGAATTGGCGTTTTATTGGTGACCTGCTTTTCTTGAACCAGGACTGTGCTATCAGCAGAGGCAGAGGCTATGACGTATAGTAAGAGTGGGGAGTCAGGTTATAGGACAATGACCATGAGGCTACTTATTTTTCCAATTCATTGAAAGCCTTCGACTATTCTAGACCCCATTCTAGTTTGTCTAAAATTTTCAAGGCTTTTAAGAATCATAGTCATGTTCTGCAGATTTAGAGATGAATATGTTCAGTGCTGCTATCCTTCCGATCAACTTCTAGACCTCCTTTTTGGTTGAAGTTCTGCCATGGAGAGGATTGCCTTCGTATTTTCTAGATTTGCATGTATTCCACTAGGGGTGACTACATAGCCTAGGACCTTACCTTTGCTATCACCAAAGACACACCTTTCAGGGCTGAGTTTGAGGCCCGCTTTCCTTAGATTGATGATGGTTTCAAACAAGTCTGCTATATGGTATTTTTTTCTTTGCTTGTTACCACAATGTCATCGACATAAGCCCGGATGTTTTTGTTTAGTTGAGGGCCAAGAACAACCTTCATCATTCTAGCGAAGGATGAACCATGATCTTGAGGCCTTTGGGCATTATGACAAAGCAATAAGTGTCGAATGAGATTGTGAAGCTTGTTTTTTCTTCATCTTCCTTGTTTAGGCATATTTGATGGTATCCTGAGAAGTAATCCAACAGGGAGAAATGGTTGTAGCCTGTGGCTTTATTTACTAATGTGTGTGTTCTTGGCAGTGGGAATGGGTCTTTACGATAGGCCTTGTTCAGGTCAGTGAAATCTATGCACATGCGCATTTTGCCATTCTTTTTCCTAACGAGGACTACGTTCGCAAGCTAGTCGGTGTACTTTACTTCTCGGATGACCTTCGCATCCAGCAATATTTGGACCTCATCCTTCGCTACTAGTACCCTGTCCCTTAAGATCTTCTGTTGCTTTTGCTTTTTTGTCCTTACATTGGGATTGATGTCCAGTGAGTGCTCTATGATGTCCCTGCTAACTCCTTGTAGGTCAGAAGCAAACCAGGCAAAGATATCTTTGTTTTTGCTCAGGACTTCCAAGAGTTCTTTTTCTTCTTCGTCGGAGAGGTTTGCACCGATGATTACTTTTCTATCTAGGAGGGCGTCTTCAAGAGGGATTGATTTGGTATCTTCTTTGTCCTTTAAGTCAGTTTATCCCCAAGCAATATCTGGTGGTTCGGTAGGTTGGCCTTCGCTGGTTTCTACGGAATTTATATTCCTGAGCCTTGGATATTGTCTTCTCAATGTTTCGTGCTTCTTTTTGTCTATCGTGGACCGAGATGACGCCGTGTAGTGCAAGCATCTTCATGCACAAGTAAACTGTGTGTATTGCCACATTGAACTTGTTGGCAAAGCCTCTACCGAAGATGGCATTGTAGCGATAGTACAGGTCAATGATGTCAAAGGTTATGTATTCCGTTCTTGCATTTGCTTGATCACCAAAGGATACTGGGAGGGAAATTTTCCTGAGTGCGTAATCCTTTTTCCTCCTAAACCAAATAGGGGGTCTCTGGTGGTTGGAGTTGGTTTCTGCTAAACTTCATTTGATCGAAGGTGTTGGCGAAGACTATATCTGTTGAACTTCCTTTGTCCACCAGTATTCTACTAATTTCTCAGACTGCTATGTTAGCTTTGATGACCATTGCGTCTATGTGTGGGTAGCTTTCTAGCTTGAGGTCTTGCTCGAAGAACGTGAGAGGTACCTTTGACTAGTCTGTGTGTCGTCAGACCAGTCCCTATACCACAATGTTGTTGACCAGCCTTAGATGATCTTTCTTTTGTTTTTTGCTCTAAAATTCCATTACAAAACCTCCTGTGATTGGCAATATCATTCCGATGGTAGGTAATGGTGTATGAGGATTGATTTGGTTTTCTGGGTGTGGCTCTTTGTTTGGGAATTGTGGTGGGGTTGGTGGGAGGGCTTCGATTTGTATGTTTGGTATTTCAAGTGGGTGACTTGTTTTGACATAGGTGATGTGTGCAGGCTATGGATTTATGAAGGTTAGTTTGGCTTCTAGTTGCTAGCTACTTGATGAGCCTTGCTGTAAAGGCTGCTGGTGAGGATCTCTCCATGCTAGTAGAAAATTTGGGTAATCAGTAGCTGGTGTAGAAGGGTGCACAATTATGGAATTTAGGCTTGGATATATGGGAGGCTGCGCTACCGTGAGGTGTTCGAGGTGTTATTGATTTCCCTCGGGTGCTGGTTTTTTGGATTTTGTTGATTCTGCCTCTGGCTAATTCTTTCTTGAGTTTCTTTTGCATCTAGGCAATCTTTGGTGATGTGGCCTTGTTTTCTCCATGGAAAAAGTAAAATTGCCTTTGTGTTTTTTTGTTTGGGTTCTAGTTTCTATGCCATGACTTGTTTTGGTTACTTCTATGATTGTCTTGCTGATTCAGGGCTCCATTTTCCAGATTGAATTGTGGAGGCTACTGAGATTGTTGTTGACCATGCGGAGACCGGGTTTACATTGAAAGACTTGCTGGCCAGAATCACGCTGGGGTTGGCTTTGTGTCCTGTTGTCCCTAGGTGGCTGCTTGTTTGTTTTGGGATTGAGTGTGTTGCTCCTCCATTCATTTGCGAAGGCTATTGTCTGACCTGCAATATTTCTCAAACTCGTTGAATAGCTCCTCTATGGAATAAGGTTTTTCCTTGGCCAAGTGTCCTCCGAAGGGTTCTATTCGAAGGCCCTTGATGGCAGCCTTGATTGCTACTTCTTTGGGAACATTGGGCACCCATGCTTTGAGATGTACAAATCTCTAGGAATAGGCTTTAAGGGACTTGCCTAGTGCTATTTGCACTGGAAAAGATCAAAGGCTATTAGGGATTTGCTTGAAAATCCTTTGAAGTTTGACACTATTTGGTCGCGAAGGTCTTCCCACGAGTATACTCACTTGGGTCTAAGCATGGAATACCTGGCCATGGCGTCCCCCTCTACTGCAATGATGAAGGACTTATTGACACTGTGTCGTTTCCTCCTGTAGAGGCCATAGCTACCTCAAAACCCATTATGAACTATCGAGGGTCTATCTGCCCATTGAACTTTGGTAGAGATATGGGTTTGTAGGTGGATGGTCAAGGCGAGGATTGTAGGCCTTCAAACAATGAGGATTTGTTGTCTATGGATTTTGGGGTGGTATGAGGTCAATTGGTATGCTGAAAGTTAGCTAGAGCTGGGCACTTAGCTAGAGGTTGTGTTGGCTTTGTGCCGCTAGTAAGGGATGGTTGGAGTTGTTTGATGAGGGAGGGTTTGGTAGCAAGCTCTGATTTTTTGCTTGCAGGACAACCAGCTGCTGCCTTACCTGTGCAGCTTGCTGAGAGACAAGGGTTGCTCTTTGATTTGCCATCCTGTCCCTTTCTTCCTGGGCCTACTAAAGTTGGGTTTGCAACTACTAAAGGAGTTGTTCTGGTGTTGGGTTTGGGATTGGTTGCCCTCCATCACCTGTTGGCTGATCTGCCGCAAGTGCTTCTTCTTCTTCTTCTTCCACCTCCACATTTTCCTGGGCTCCTCGGTTGGCATAAGTTTTGCAGGTGCTGTGCCTGGGCCTTCCCCGCATGGAGGTTTTCCCCTAGTTCTGGCGGAGGCCTTTCTCTTTGTCACCATTGTGGGTTTGTGCTTGGCCTCGCACAGTAGGCGCCAATGTTGGGGTGTAGGGCTCCCGATAGGGATGGAAAGAACAGTTCCGAAGCCCTTATCACGGAGCGAAGGCCCTCGACCCAATGGCATGTGAATATTGAGGGAATATTAGGGTTTCGGACACAGAAATGCTCTCTGACTTCAATGGGGGTCGAGCCCTCTTTTATAGGGTACTGTTACCACATTCCTTGATTACAATGTTACCCCTATGCTAGTTAAGGCATATTCCGGCATATTCCTTGGCTCATGGGGCATGTCCCAAGGACTCCCTTGTCATTTACAAGTCAAACTGACTCAACCGATGGGCCGTTGTCGAGCCAGCCCCTTGGCCCAGCAATCCCATCCATCGAGCACTCTTAGTTCCGCCGCTGGAGCCGCGTCACCATCTCAAAGGGAGATTTGATCCTTCGAACATCCTCAGCGACCTTCACCTCACTGTTCAGGGCCAAAGGCTTGTTTCGCCATCCTTCCTTCGATCGAGGAACCAAAGTGGCAAAGGCTTCCCCCTTGAGGCCCCTCGGGCAAAGGCTCTGTCAGGCCTTCGCTACCAATCCTGCCTAGAAAACTCATGCAAAGACTGATTACATGGTTAGTAAATTCTTCGGTCGCATGCTGTCTCCCCCAACAATAGCACGTTAGTACAAAGTTTGAAATGAGGTAGTATAAATTTGCTGAATTTAGGAGTACAGTTTTAAACCTAGCAGTACAAAGTTTATAATGTGATAGTTCAAAGTTTTGAACTTAGCAGTACACAAAGTTTATAATGTGATAGTTCAAAGTTTTGAACCTAATGTGATAGTTCAAAGTATATAGAGTCTGACCGTAATGTTTTGAACTACAAAGTTTTGGATTTCGGAGTCTAATGTTAGATATGTATAGAAAGATTTCATGTAATAATATTTTGACATGTAATCCAAAACTTTGTATTAGGACATGTACAGAGTGTTTTTTCAATGCGTGATTTCAAAGTTTTTTCTTCACTAGATATATTCCGGTACGTTGCGTATGGCTAGGAGTTTTTGCTCACACCTAATGCCATTTTGACGAACATATTAAAAAAATCTATAAATCTGATTATATAAATATAAAGACCGTTTCATGATATTTATTACCAATATCGTGTAGATCTAGTTTATAGAAACATAACAAAATTGATTTCACTTTTTTTAATACTTGCATGACTCATGATCTTTATCGCATATATCGTCAAATATCTTCAGTTTAAGCGTCCATGGTCCACGTAGCTCTAACTATAACGACATACACGATGACAACATGGATGCCGCAGCTCTCCAACTGGTTCATCAATTCATGGGTCATGGTGTGGAAGCCAATGGTGAGGAGATGTACGTGGAGGAGATGAAGACCGATCGAAGGCCAGGAAGTCGACGGTGGCGGCGGAGGGGGCCAACAGCCGGGTTTCAGCAACAACCCTAACCCTAGCAACAGCAATGCCTGTGAGGCGCGCATGACTCGATCGCCAGCTGACGATGGCTGTGGGGACAACGGCGCCTGAGCAACTGCAGTGGATCTCATGTGCTCCTCTAGAGGACAACCTGGGGCACTTATTGTTTCGTCTTCATCAAATACATAGAAATTGGATGTTGGATCCTACGTACCTTGGTCAGCAGGTTGCTGCGGGGCTGCGCTGTCACGGAGGATGAGAGTAGGAAGTTGGGCGTGGGGCGAAATCGCCAAGCTTTAAAATAGCGGGATATAGCAAATAGCAGCATTTTTTATTCGGAAGCTATAAAGCTAGAGCGTGGCTACAACAAAGCTATGACAGACAGTGGTTTTTAAGAAAACTATGAAAATTACAAATAATTCATTCATAAAGACATAAGAATCATGAAATTTGGTGAACACAAATATGTTTCCAAAGCCACTGCCCATACGACCACACGCCGGGTAAGGTCATCACTCTAATTCTTTTGGCACAAGGATCGCACTGTAGAAGGCTTTATACACATTGACTGTAAAATTAAACAACATATATGTATTTGTAACACATTTTACGTATTTTAGTTATTGTGATATAGAATACTAGAATTTAGTAACATATATCTGTAACATTAATTTTTTGGTTACTTGTTCCTATAATCGTTGGTAGCACATCTGTGTTGCTATGAAATTTCTCTGTAATAAATTGATATTTGTGTTACGAGAATATATGTTATAATATCTATGTTTTGTAGTGGTGTGACCTATTAAATTGTGTCTTTCTTACTCAAATGAATGAATTTTTGTTAGAATATTCATGTCTAAGATAATCTCAGTTGTTACTTCAAATCTTTTGGGCATGTTTTAGAGATATGTGGAATGCATCAAATCAACACATAGGTAACTTCAATATCTTTGTGACTCAACAGTTAGCTTTTGGGATTGTCAAGAAGTTGGAAGTCTCATCGAAGTAGCTGTATAGTTATTCACGCCTCCAGCTTCCCTCTGTCCTTCACAACCATGCTCAAGTACATATAATATATATATATATATATATATGCAGCTGCAGAAATAACAAGAACATTAGAAGAGTAAACAATATGGCCTTGTTACCTATCCAGAGGCTGCTCAGGTCTCTGTACCTGCCGTTTCACTCACTACAGCTGTCATCCTTATGGCTGCACAGTTTGGTTTCAGTGAGCACATTTTCCATCTCCATGCCCTTCGACCCATTTACTTGTTGCTAGCTGCCTTGCTACCAGCAGCTGCATTTACCTTGTACCTCGTGAACCGCTCCCACTATGTATATCTAGTCGACTATGCCTGCTTCAAGCCAAATTGTAACTGCCGTGTTCCCCTGGCTTCATTCAAAGAGTACATGACGCAATGCATGCCATTCCTTGATGACCGCAGCATCCACTTCTTAACACGTATGATTGACCGCTCTGGCCTCGGTGAAGAGACTGCCTTGCCGCCTAGCCTCCATTACATACCTCCGAGCTTTGGTTTTAGTCAGGGCCATGCTGAAGCTGAGTTAATCCTGTTTTCAACAATTGATGACCTGTTCAGTAAGACATGCATCAACCCATCTTCCATCGATTTACTGGTTGTTAACTGCAGCTTATTTGCCCCAACACCAACCTACAGTGACATGATCATAAACAGATACAAGCTTCGCAGCGATATCCGCAGTGTGCACCTGTCTGGTATGGGGTGCAGTGCGGGTCTCATTTCGGTGGGGCTGGCCAAGAACCTGTTGCAGATCACTCCACATGCCTCGTATGCATTAGTGGTCTCTACGCAGTCAATGTCGCACATAAATTATCAAGGAAGGAAACGAGAAATGCATCTGCCCACCGTCCTATTCCAAATGAGTGGTGCCGCTGCATTGCTATCGAATTCAAGGAATAAGGTGCGATTCCGACTCAAACACCTTCTGCAAATGATTACAAGCACCAGCGAAAGTGCTCATCGGTGTGTCATGCTGGACGAAGATGGCGAGGGAAACTTGGGGATGAGCCTTTCCAAGGACCTTATTGCTGTTTCTGGTGAGGCATTGAGGACCAGTATCAGTTCCATTGCGCCCCTTATCCTCCCAGTATCAGAAAAGCTACGGTTTTTGCTTTCCTGCAGATCGAGGAAGGTTCTCAACGGCAAGGTGGCACTGTATGTTCCAAACTTCTGCGTGGCGATAGAGCACTTCTGCATTCATCCCGGTGGACCAGCAGTGATTGATGCTGTCCAAGATAGCCTCCGTCTATCTGATAGCCATGCCGAGCCGTCACGAATGACGCTTCATCGTTTCGGGAACACATCAAGCAGCTCTTTGTGGTACGAGCTAGCATACATTGAGGCGAAAGGTAGAATGCGTAAGTGTGTGTGATCGAGTATTGATGATTGCCTTCGGTTCAGGGTACAAGTGCAACATCGCTGCGTGGGAGTGTACCCAACCACCCCACAGTGCTGATGGCACTACGTGAAAAACAGTTTGTAGCAACGGGGCTTTTTTTTAAGGGGCGGCTGGCATTGGAGCAGCCCCTACAGTGGCGTGCTCGGACTCCAGCACAGTAGCCGCTCCTACAAATAACACGGTAGAGGCGGCTGATAATACGAGCCGCCCCTACAAATGTCATGGCACAGTAGGGGCGGCTGGTAATATGAGCCGCCTCTACAAATGTCATGCCCGTAGTCGCAACTCAGGTCCACATCTGCCTCCACCCCCTCGGTCTGTCCCTCGCCCCCTCTCCTCTCTTTCTCCAACACCACCGCCCCATCCATCTCCCGTCACCTCCCCCTCCTCTCTTCTTCCGACGACGCCACCGCCCCTTCCTCTTCCACCGTTGCGGCCACCATCCCCTCCTCTACAGGCGCGGCCACCACCCCTCCACCGGTGCGGCCACAACCCCCTCTTTCCCCTCTTAGATCTAGATCTAGAAGGGTGGGGAGGTGGGGCTTCCACTGCGTCATGGCGTCCTCCCCAGATCCGTTGCTCACGTCGCCACCGCTCATGTCATGCCCGTCATAGAGCCGCACACGTCGGAGGGCGCGGGTACCTCGTCTTCCTCCACCACCGCTGGTGCCGGAGGCACTCACAAGTCGTCGCCGAGAGCCACGGCAAGGGCGCAAGGGGTGGTGCGGCAGGTGCGCCTCCTCAGCTCCCCTCTAGCCTGGCTTCCTCCAACGACAGCGGCAGGTGCGCCTCCTCAGCTCCCCTCTCTCCCTTCCGGCCTTTCCCTTCTCCTCCGCATTTTTTTTCTTGTTAGGGTTCGAGGTCAGATGGCGGCGGAGGCTGCTTTGGCAATGGCAAGGGCTCTTCCAGTTGCATCTCTCCTCACCCCCTTCCCTACTCCTCTCCCCCTTGACTCTTGCTAGGCTAGATCACATGCTCCTGATCTGGATCCATCACTTATTAGTAGTAGTTTATCGTATCCCTGATAGATATTACGTGCTCTGCTATTTCCTCTTATAGTAGCGTATGCTTGTGACTATTTTTGTTAAACTGTCCATTATGCAATTAGTTGGGAACAATTATATCTGGTTTTTTTGTCCTGTCGTTCTCCTTCTCAAGTTGATTTTCTGTGTCTTCAGGGACATATTCAACAGGAGCTGAACCTGGGTGTGTTTGTTTTAGTTGCTGCTATCATATTCATTCTTTTGTGATGTCTCATTCTAGAAGCTCTTGCATAATCACAGCACCTTTATAAGTCAAAAAATATGTACAGAATGGTAGTGAAGATAGTGTGTTGATTTTGCTGCTGATCTTGTGATGCAACCTTGTTAGAATAGTAAGTTTTTGCTATTTTCTAAAAAGTAATGATTGTTATTGACCTTAGAAGGTACATTGAAATAGGTAAGCTGGCCTGGACACTTACTTTCTGCAAAAGAAATCTGTGCTAGCTATAGTGATTGAAACACTTACTGTTAGGCAACTTATTCTTGCTGGAAAGGAATTCTATATTGTTGTAGGCCATAAAGAACAAGTAGCTAGTAACTTAATCTTGACACTACTGATACAGACCTTATGCTACTGCTTGACACTACTGATACAGGGTTGTGTAAACAAAGCCATATGCTACTGCTTGACACTACTGATACAGGCCTTCCTTGCAGAAGCAAGCGCCAGCTCTCCTTGACAATATTTTCCAGGCTTTCCTTATTGCACCATTCTTTGAGCTGCTACAGGTAAACTTTGCATCATATATTTACACCCCTTACTGTGGCAACTATGTTACACGTCTCAGGAATTAATTTGGTAACTAAACTATTATTTAGTTCATCATATATGTTTTTGTTTCCCACTACTTTGTTCTGCTTAAAAATCTTTAGTGCTGCCACAACAGTTTTTAGATTAGCTCATCTCCTTCAGTTTATTCTTAGCTTGTACGCACTGCTAGTTATATGTGCCTTCTTTAGGTTAATTTTTTGCTTCTACAACTTGTGTTAAGGATACTAATATTGATTGCATCTTGATCCTGCAGGTACCATGCCAACAGAATGCTTAGCTTCTATGCACCAGGTGAGTTCTCTTTAGGATTTGAAACTGTTTTATGATTTCTTTTCAATGAACAGATTTTTAATTTTTTCATGGATGCTAAGTTGAATTTAGAGTAGTTTTTCAGTCTTGCATATGTTCAGTTGTGCAAATAACCAGCTTATAGCCTTATACCATGCCACACCTGTTTTAGAGAACCTGAAGATAGCTTGCCATCTACAATTGAAGCTTTTGCTTTACTGCAGTTTTTTATGCAGATTGTATCTGCCATCTATAATCAAGTAATTGCATTTTCCCCCTTGCTCATAATGACACATGTGCTGCATTTCTACCAATTTAATATATATAATTTGAGTCCTATTCTGAAAAAAAGTGTGAACTCAAGTTCCATTCTGAAAAAATCTGTCAATTAACCTAACTAGCCCAAACTTTGAGGGACATGTAGGTATCTAAGCAACATGTGCTTGCACTGCAAGTTCAAGCTCACTCAAAGTATTGGTTCCTAAGCAACATGTGCTTGCACTGCAAGTTCTAGCTTCTTTTCTGAATAGGCATTTCACATGTTCTTTTTATTAGAAAATTACTAGGGGCATAAATATGATCAAAATCTCATGTCTTCACCATACAAACTACTGTATGTTTGCCTAATAGACTTGACCTCCACCTGACTGTTTCTGCTCTTTTTAGATGGGCCAACAAGGAACATACAACCAAGGAATGGGTTATATGCAACCTCAGGTGATACTTGGGAATCTAGAAAAAAAAAGACAATTATTATGGTTATACTTGAAATTTATCACATTAATTAAGTCTTTGTTATCTCTTATAAAACCATGAGAAGAGATGCATGTTGTATACACCATGGATTTTTAGTACAACCACATATGAAAAATTGTATAGTATACTAATATGAATGGGGGCATGTGAGTTTTAAGTCAACCTGTCGACTAATGGTTATGACTAGTGGTTCTGTTATTAGATTTTTTTCATTGACTTTGATGTGTGACCAACAATGATGGTGGATGATGATTTGTAAAAAAAATATGAGCATGTAGGTCCTAAGTCAACCAGTCGACACTAATTAGAGAGGTCTGTGCACATATTTGAGTCTAAGTTAATTCTTTTTAATGTTCTAGGGTTGTGTTTGTCTGAGTGTCAATGTGGATGGCAATAGCTGCATGATTTCTGTTGGTGCTTTGAATGGTTTACTGAACAGTATTTAGAATATCCAAGGTGACACTTTCTTGATTTTCTCTTAAGCTGTAAATTCTCTGTCTTAATTTGATAGCACTTTTATGGAGCTTTTGTGATTGATAATTCATTTCTTAATTTGTGTGCCTGTGAACCTATCATTATAATCTAGCCTTGTCTTATTAGCATTTAGATTTAGATTTAAAATAGATACAAGGAACCTGTAGTCATCAACTAATTATCAAGGAACCTATAGTAAATTTGACTTGCCTAACTATTTCTGTTTTCTGGATACAGGCATTAGATTACTGCCATTCACAAGGTATTATGCACCAAGATGTGAAGCCCCACAATATTATGATAGATCATGACCTTCAGAAACTCCAGCTGATAGATTGGGGCCTTGCTGAATTCTTATGAATTGGACTTGTAATGGTAGTTTATATAATGCTCTTGTGCTTGTGGTCATATTTGAATTATATATGCTCTGGTCAGATTTGAATTATATATGCATATATATATATATATATATATATATATATATAGTGTGTTCTGGTCGAATTTGAATTATAAATTTGAAATTTTTTTGACGGAAAAATGTACTATAGGGGCGGTTCTAGACTGAACCGCCCCTATAAACAGGTATTATATGGGCAGCTGGTACTACAGCCGCCCCTACAAATCGATTTTATAGGGGCGGCTGATGTTACCAGCCACCCCTACAAATCGATTTGTAGGGGCGACTGATAACACCAACCGTCTTACAAATCAATTTGTAAGGACGGTCTGAAAACCACCCCTATACATGTATGATTTGTAGAAACGGTATGGTAGAGACGGCTGGCCGAGCCACCTCTACAAAGCCTCATCAGCCACCCCTAGAAACCATTCATGTAGTGTGGGTCATGGGCCAAGTGTATCCATCGGTATCCAGTGAAAGCATGCTCAAACAAATTAACTACTAAGCGCCACGTTGGCTGAGGACATGCAATCCCCCAAACCATGCACGCTCCTACAAGAATGCATGTCTCTTTTATTAGTTTCACAAAAAAGAACGCATGTCTTTTATTGTATATGAAACTAAAGATTGCATGTCACGGAACTGTAACTTATTACTTTGCACCCTTATAATAAAGATTACCCTTCAATTAGGTTCAAAAAAAAAGCATTGTTTTTAACATGGACAATGCTACAGTTACTTATAGGAGGTAATGGCCCCGTTCGCTGGTCTGAAACTTGGCTGAAAAACACTGTTTCGGCTGGTTTGTTGTGAGAGAAAACACTGTTCGACTGGTTTGATGAACAGTAACTTCAGAGGGGTTCAGCCGGTTGACTGGTCTCGGTCAGACCAGCGAACGAGCCCAATAGTTCATATCATAGCAATCTGGGCTACTCCCTCTCACAATCATAATATTAAATTTTTTCTAGTGAGGTATGGTTCTCCTAGTGTTTTGACATTCAAAATTTAATATAAATTTTTCCTACCAAATATCTTCTAGTGATATTCCCATGTGCTATGACTAGTGGTAGTATTTTATCAATACTTAAAAATACTAGGAGAATTCTACCATTTTAGTAGTGTCTGTCCTAAGTCAAACTTTAGTATCTTTGACCAAATTTATACAAAAGAAGAAAAAACAAATAGGACTTCAAATTAGCTTAATTAGATATATTATAGAACATATTTTTATAATATACCTCTTTGATGTAGTGATGTTAATATTCTTTTATATAAATTTAGTTAAAATTACTATAGTGTGACTTAGACAAAACTAGATTATGTATATTTTAAGACGGAGGGAGTATTGATTTATAAGATTTTATGAATTAATTAAATAAATAAATAATCTACGAAAAAATAAAAAAAATCTGAAATCCCATAATCACCTGGACAAAAAAGAAAGAAAGAAAGTGGGGGACCCTTTGCTCCGTGATTATATAGAAGCGATTGAGTGGCCTGGCCTCCTTGCACCATGTACGTTGGCCTTGTTCGCTTCGGTATTTTTCAGCGAACGAACAATATTTTTCTCTCACAATAAATAAGGATAAGCATCAGCACGAAGAAAACACTATAGTGAATGGATGTTAAAACATGTTACAAATGCGTCACAACAAAAGCACCTGGCCTCCATTTTCTTGTGCAAACCTGTTGTCCTCTTATAGTGCAGTGTCTTCTCAATTAAAATATGTTACAAGAACGTTGTACTGGGAACCAAAACATAATACAACTTGTAGCTGTCACCTAGTGAATGAAAAACCCGACGTGGGGGATCCCAATTGGACATGTGACACCAAATTAAAGAATAAATAAATATATATTTAACTATTACCTCCTATAAAGTTATAGAGGAGGAGGGACCGAGGAAGAACACCGATGAATCTCTCTCGATTTCCATCGTTGTAACTTTGGATTGGGCATTTCTAACACGAAGATCACTATACTGCTGAACATAGGGCTCAGAAGCATGAACCAAGGATAAATCTATATACCTGTCGTTGGGGAGGGTCTGGAGAAATCCAAGCGTGCCCAAACCCAAACCCAATGGATGAGTAGACCATCGTAAGAAAAAAAGTCAAAACAATGGATGAGGAAACAAGTAGCTCTTCCCCCACGTCGTCTTCCCTCCGATCCACGACCTGCTCGCACGGGAGCGTGTGCCGCAGCTGGCCCCGCTCCACGCCTCCAGCTGCCCCAACGCCTGCCGTGGTCGTCAAGGTTGAAGCCGTGCAGGCACGCGTCGCCGCCGCCGTTGGCCATGGGGGCGCGGTGCTGCTGGCCGTGCTGTTCGCGTACGCCGGCAGGCTGAAGCCGTGCAGGGAGCGTGGTGCTAGCTGCTGGACGTGCTGTCCGCGTACGCCGGCAGGCTGAAGCCTTGCAGGCACGTGTCGCCGCCGTCGTTGGCCATGGGGGCCCTGCTGCTGGCCGTGCTGTCCGCGTACACCGGCAGGCTGCTCAGGGACGCGGGCTTCAGCGAGGCGCTCCGCGACAATTGCTGGCCAACCTACAGTTCGGCATCGACGGCTTCGAGCGCCTTACCGCCGATGGTACCGCACAGAAACATTGGAGATGGGTGCCCTCGCCCTCGAAAAAAAATGGAGACAGGTAAGACGGAATTGAATGTGTGGAATCTTTGGTGGCTTAAGTACTCGAAACACTTAGGGGCACGGGCGATTTATCCTTGTTGGGTTTCTGAGCCTTATTTCCAGCAGTATGATGTTCTTCGTGTTAGAAATACTCAAACAGGAGTACTTACAGTGGTGGAATTAAGAGAGAGAGAGAGAGAGAGAGAGAGTGTAGCACGGGATTGTGCATGCTATCCTAGGATTGTTGGTGAGATCGTTCGATCAATTAGACTCGACCTAATTGTCCCATCCTCTTGTTTGGTTTCTATCGTGGTTGGTCGCTTGCGCGATCCCTTCTATTGGAGCCCATGCCTCCCCTTATACAGCGAGGAGGGCATCGGGTACAAACCAGGTGGTTTGTAACCTAGGGTTTCTCGCCTTGGGCTTCGGTCTTCGTGCCGTCCCAGAACTTCTTTGTCTTGTAACTGGGGGCTGACAAAACCTCAACCACTCCCTGAGACCTCTGTTGTAGCCTGGTGCTAACCGCCAGGTGCTGTCTACCACAGTGGTGCCTTCTTTGGGTGAACCTTCCTAGCTTCTTTGACACGCCAGGATCCTCCTTCCACCAAGAGGGACTACCAGGTGAGCCCAGAGTCCCTCCCATCATGGTCTTCGAGAGTTCCTTGTCTTGACATGAATCACGCCCTAGGTGTGACCCTGCCTAGGAGTGGCCGGCAGTGCCTCGCGGTGGTGTGATCGGATTGCGATGTAGTGCTTCTGCGCTTGTCAAGCTCTGAGCGCCTAACAGATTCTGCAGCTGGTTTCTAGTCTTGGCTCGGGACATTGGCCCTGAGCCAAGGTTGTGGGACAACCGCTGGCGCTGAGGCTCAGCCGAGGCTCCCCTTCGGTCGGGGATCCCTGCGTGCTGGCTGACCCCTCGAGCCCGGGCGATGACGGCTCTTGCCTTCTCAGGCTCGACCTTTTTGGTGTCAAGGGCCTCCTTGGTGGAGGGCCAATTGTGGGTTGTCATCTGTCAAGCCATCCTTTTCCTACGAGTGGGTGCACACAAGCGCACCCGATGGGTATAGCCCCCCGAGCCCTCGCCTGATTCGGAGAGCCGGCTGCAGGGAGGGGGGGTAGTTGGACTGTCATGCCCTTAACTCAGGGACTTAACATACCCCTATGTTAGACTCTCATCAAAAGGTTATTCGTCCTTGACTCCCTAGATTACCCGATCAGCACGTATGAAAAATCTTGACACTTGTACAACAGTAAGTCGACATATGCATGCATACTTTTTAACATTTCTATATTATCGATGAGAGTTTGGAAATGACTTGGTGATTTTATTTGAGCTCTACAGGGCATACAAGTGGAACAAGTTCATTGGTGAAAATAAGATACAAAATGAAAATCAAAGCCGTTGTCCATAAAGAACAAATGGTCGGTAAATTTTAAATAAATGTCATACATGTCTAGTATGTATGTAAATGTAGCAACGAAACAACCACTTGCCTATTATATAGTGCCATGAGAAACCACCTAGGTCGGTCCTCTGTGGGTACTACGTGTGCAAGTTTCTCAGACAAAACGGATGGTACACCACGAAATCTAGCAAAGTAAGTAATAGTCCTATGTAAAGTTTTGTCATTAGTGTTGCAAATGCATTGTCACTTGTAAATATGTGATGACTATAAACTTTCATTGAAGGTATATCGTTGCCAGCCAACACAGAAAAGCATCAAAGATAAAGGCATCATGAATATATATGCAAGGACATGTGCCGGTTCTTCATGCATGAAATTATTCACTTTAAAGGGAAATATCATGATGTTACCTCTGAGTTAGCATAGCCACAGTACCGAGATCTTATAGATTTTTCTAGGCTAGAACAAAACAAAGATGATTATTAGAGAATTCATGGAACTTATGAGTTGGCACAGCCAGAGTACGAGATCTTGTAGATTTTTCTAGGCTAGAACTAAACAAAGATGATTATTACAGAATTCATGGAACTTATGGGTTGAAAATTTTGATGTATATATATGCTATGTTTGAAGTATAAACTTGGGCTGATGACTACAGTAGGATGAAGTAAATTTTGTTTTTGTCGTGCATGGAAATATAATTGCCTGTGATGTAGGGTTCATTTGAATTTTTAAATATAATTGTCTCTGGCGGGAAGTATATGGCGCGGACATTTAAATTTTTAAAGATAGTTCACTCGCGGTTTATGTTACTAAACCGTCTCTGGAAATCAATTTCAAGAGGCAGCAAATTTACATAAACCACTTGTGGAAATGCATTTACACATGCGTTTTTCTTAAACTAACTGTCAGCGTAAATGCATTTACACAGATAGTTTTCTTATTACACTGATGGTTCTCTAGAAGACGCCTTTGAAGTTCGCGATTTTCACCGGCGTTTCACGCTGGCGGAAGCCAAAAACGCTAGTAAAAATTGGTTTTGGAACCACCGTTACTAATGTTCTGTGTACTAGTGTCAAATGGCTGCAAGATCTCGAGGTGGCTTAACGTGGTTGTAATTTTATTCTAGCAATTAATATATAAATGTGTACCTCCAAGCCGACATGCTTTTCATGTGCACTGTAGCTGTATACAACTATAAAACTAAACAATTTCCCCCTCAAAGAGAATGTAAAAAAGCACAACTGTTTTTTGTATGCTCACTTGAGCTAACCTACCATTTAGCGTTGGATACAAATTAAACTGCTGATCTTGACATTATCTGGCCAAATCTCTATAAATCACCCAATGAGTTGCATGCGACGAAGCAATGACCCGTAGGACAATTCCTTGGTACACAAATGGGTGGCAAGTAACGGAAGCAACTTCGTAACTAGTGATGGTTATTAGTTGGCTGTCAGTTGCACTACACGTGACCAGGTAGCCCAGGAGGGGTCTTCACTTCTCTACACATTACTGCGCGTGAAACGCATACCCCAAGGAGTTCATCACCAATTTGGCAAGTACCTCAAAACAGTCTACGCGAAAATAGTAGACAATTTCCTCTTGATAATCGCAGTGCCATTCGCCACTGCAGCTATCATCGTGGGAGCAAGCAGATCTGATGAGTTCACCACTCTGCTTCAGTCCGTCAGGAACTCGGACGTGCTCTCATTTGGATTCCTCTTGGGCACAGCAGTGATCGTACACACCATGCGGCGCCCACGGGCGGTGTATCTCATTGACTACGCTTGCTTGCGTCCCACAAATATCTACCTTGTTCCTGAGAAACATATATATGAAACACCTGAAACACTTAAAAAATATATGCTTGCAACATGCATATATATGTAACATCCAGATCTATTTTTACAACATCTAGATAAAACGCTTGCAACATACGTCTGGAAATAGATAAAACATTTGGAATATACACTTGAAACATACGTGTATAGCCATTACAACATATGCAACATCCCAATCTACTTTTACAACATCGATATACAACGCTTGCAACATACCTCTGAAACATGTAAAACGCTTAAAACATACTCTTGCAATATGCGCCTTCATTGTAGCATCTATTTACTACTTGGATGAATGGAGGCTCGTCGACACGGAGCTCGCCACTCCGTTGGAGAAAGGTTGTGGTGGGTCGCTCCGGTGGACAAGGTGGACCGTGCGCTGGAGAAGGCCGTGAGGCGGAGTGGGCTGCGTGCTGGAGAAGGCCACGGTGGGTTGCTTCAGTGGATGAGGTAGGGCGCGGCAATGACGATGATGCAGAGGGCGGGTGGGGGCTAGAGCAAGAAGCTTGGATGGGAGGGGATCTATGGCAGCCTGGATTTCATGCCGCCCAGCATGGGCACAAGTGGGACTCTGTGACGGGTGGCGGAGGGGCGGATGACGCGGTGAACATAACGACGGGCGGACTGGGATAGTTATCAGCCGCAAAGATGGGGGAGTAGGGGAGCAAGCCGGTTGCCTGTTGGGCCGGTGCACTGTGCAGGCCTAGGGAGACAGCGTCCGGCTGTCCGGACGCCCTGGAACATTTTCGTATAATAAATGGTGGATACTCCAACAGCTAACATGCTGTTCGATCAACACATAGCAGAGATAATGGACATGCATGTAACAGCTACCATTATAGTATATCTACAAAGTTACAACATATAATAATGTATGTATGCAAAGAAAAGTATTGGTATGACTTACATGTTGTAAACCTAGAATTTAGGCACATTAGCATGTACTTTTGCACCCAATAACTTATTTGTCAATATACTGCTACGCAGAGAGGAAACTATCCTCCACTAGTACAGAAATATTTTTTTTCAGACGTTACCAATTTCTAACAGAGACGGATGGCATAGGAAACCGTCTGTAACCTTGATGGCGAACACTGTAGCTAACGAATCGCTGCTGGAAATCAATTTTTAGGGGCAGTTCCGTTAAGAAAACTAGCCCTAGAGATGTATCCTGAAAATAGGATTTTCAAGAATGGACGTCTTTACCGAACCGTCTCTAGAAGAATCAGATTATCACGGACGGTTTTGTTACGAGAACCAAAATCTGAATTATATTCAAGGATGGTGCTCTTAGTCACCCGGCCCTAAAAAACAACCCCCTAATAATACCCTTCTTCCTCCTCATGACTATAGATGGTCATGCGTGACTGTTGTTGTTCACACCATTGTAGAGTTCACTTGGAGACGAGAAATTGCAGAAAAAGATGGGAAGGTTTTGTCCATTGAACCTTCAAAGGAGTTCAGTTTGAGAGCTGAGTTTATGCCATCCCTAAAATCTTTTCAAATTTTGCCAATACATTTCGTTCACTAATTTTTATTGTCATGTAGATCTAGATCTAGAGACATGATGTTTGATTTTTTTTATTTTTCTACCAATTTAAGATGATTTTTTTGCCAAACTTATTTCGCTCACATCAACTCTAGTTACTTTATATATTTGTTTTGTCATTTTTGGTTCACAGCTTTTCTTTAGATCATTTTTTTAAGCATATGTATTATATGATGGATCTTCGAAGCACAAATTTCCTAGTCGCAGCATATTTTTACACCCTTTAACAACTCATCTATGAGTACTTAGCTATCATCATTTGTATTTTCTCGCTCTGTCCCTGCTTACATGATTACATTACATACTTACCCGCCGAAGTACGATTTTTTCTTTCAAAATAAGGCCACCGTCACTTGGTCAGTCATCACTCAGAGAAACAAACATTAGATAGACAAAAGCCCTGTAGGTGGTAGCACAAGCGTTGAAGCATGCACAAGGCGGTCAATCTGCACAGGAGGCGTCCCTTCAACCATCCAACAATCAACCAATTGAGATGTCAGATGTCCTCGTGACAACAGCTAAAGATTGAAATTCACGAGCAAATCTCTGAAAGGATCGTGATCTAGAGGCAAACTTGCTTAACATGTACTCCTAAAGATATTATATTACAAAATCGGAAGCAAACGTGCAAAATTTCTTGGAACAAGTTAAACCGTTGGTCAGAACCGTGTAAAGAGGTTCAATCAGTCAAGGGATTCGCAGTCGGTTCAGGTAGTCAGAAGACTCAGAACTCCGGTGTAGGTGTAGACAGAATGGTGGGAACTGGAATCTACTGTCGAACAGGGAGACCAAAGATGTAAAACTACAGTGTTTTCTTCATGTAAAAACAAATCTGAAGAACTGGGCTAGAATTCTCGGTAATGGCAGGATGCTAAAGATTCTGACTTTCCACGGTAGTTCATACCAGTTGCAAGATGTTTCCATCATTTCAAATGCTGTGCTCTCCAGTCAACAGCAAAATCTGTGCTGTCATCCTCTTCATTGCTCGATGAGTCACTGCTGGACTCCATGTCCATACCGGTAGGTTTGCTATTTACTTTAGCAGTACGGGCGGCCTTCGACTCTAATAGCTGTTTCTTCAACATATCAATTGCTGCCTGTACTCCCTGTGTAGAAATAAAAGGATGCCCACCGTAAAAACCTTCACTCTGGTACACATGCTTTTCATAGTCTAACAGGATGTGGTGAAGTATCTTACTGTTGCTCTAGAGTCAAGTGCTCCTCCCCCTCAGCAGCAGCATCAATCTACAGCAAAAAGGAAAAGCTTAATCATATCAGCAGTCTGGAACTAACATTGGCAATGGGTAGGTAAATATCTTTTTCACTGTTAGCATATAATGGACAATATAAATTAGCCTAACCTCCTCTTCTTCAAGGCGGTCATCAACTTCCTGCAAATCCTCCAGAATTTCCTTCTCGAATTCTTTGTACGCATCACTGCACAAGATTTTTAATGAATTGACATGATAATGTCAGTGTACAGACAACAGATAACATTTTACTAACTGTAGATTACTGCAGATTTTGAACTTGACAGATGCACAAACACAAAATGGGCGTGGAAATGACAATAAAATGACCAGTTTAGAAATCAAACTCATTTATGCTGTTAAACTATGCTGACCAGCTGCTGCGAAGAGCCATGATCATAATACATGAGTCATGACAACAGAATGTAAAATTGCCAAATGAATAGGACAATGCATGACAAACAGGTAGGTCTGGTAAAAAATGGTTATGCATGAATACTGAACATAATCCTGGCAAGAGATGGCCACTAAAACTTACTTCATGTCAACTTTTTGAGGTTGGATACCACGTGCACGGAGATCTGCATCTTTGTTATCAAAGAAACCTTCAGGCAACAATCCTTTTGCTTGAGCAGTTTCTGAACTCGGTTCATTGGGTTGCATGCCACTGCCAGTTTTGTTGTGATCAAAGAAGCCATCAGGGACACCTTTCACCTTTGTGTGAATGGAACTGGCAACATTTTGAGATGTACTAAGATCTTTTGGAACTGGAGTTGGAGCTTCATCTTCTTCTCCATAGTCAAAAAAATTCCCTGGAAGGATTCCTTTGACACTGGTATTGCTTTGACTCCCTTTGGCATTTGATCCATCCTAACAGATGATTTATCAGTGCTTGCTCCTATGGTCTTTGGTTGAATAACAGCAACTTCACGGCGCATAGACCTTCCCTCAGAACCAGTATCTAGAAATCAAAGATGTTATATCAATGCATTGATGTTCACAAAACTGTTGAGTTTACTAAGGGCCCTAACAAATAGCCATTTTACAGGAAGCAAGCGTAGAAAGCTATACAGGAAACACATCTGCATTAGATATTTGACATAACAAATGTACAGAATAACTAACATTATACTTAGACATTGTAGGTAAAGATTCTAAACAACTTCATGGTGTATTAAAATCCTACACCATGTTTCATTTAACAGTTAACACAGTGGCAGACTGATAGGTTTAATGATTTGTTAGGTACAGCTAAGAAGAACAATAGGACATTACAGTTTATTGGCAGTTGTAGATTTAAATAAGAGAACATGAAAATGACAATTTAATACAGATGGTTCATTTGAAAATACAATTGAAATAGACTAGAATGCACAACTCTACAGAAATGAAGGGCGGGCCTGGTGCAAGCGGTAGAGTCTTACCGCTTGTGACCGGAAGGTCTCGGGTTCGAGTCGCGGTCTCCTCGCATTGCACAGCCGAGGGTAAGGCTTGCCACTGACACCCTTCCCCAGACCCCGCACAGAGCGGGAGCTCTCTGCACTGGGTACGCACAACTCTTCAGAAATATGGTATCTGAGAGCAATGCCGTGGGGGCAATCTTTTCCCCTGCAACCCGAGTTTTTTTTTAACATGGTTTCTGAGCAAGTGTACATAGAGGTGACAAAAAAATAATGGAAGGCAAACACTGGACAAGTGGCAGAACAAAAGGAGGAATCAAATGTAAACTCAAAAGCAAAATAACAAATGTTTATTTCCATGATAATGATAATCTATCAGACATACATAACAGCAGCATGACATGTAAAATAATATACGCAAATGCCTCTAGAGCAATACTACAGACCCAGTTGATTTTACACTATCTGGAGCAAGGGAGGTCATTAGGTATTCTCACCATCACTTTGCCTTTTAGTTCCCTGATTATCAAAAAAATTGGTAGGTAGTGTGGAAGATTTTTGTTTCTCAGACTCCAATGGTTGCTCTTGCTTGGCACTGTTGCCTCTAGATCCTGCACCTGTTGCAGCCTTAGCAGCGGCGGCTTTTGCCTGTAATCAGAATACAAGCTCAGTTCAGAAGTAATAAAAAAAAGGCACCTTCAACTTCAAGAGCAAATACACTTTGAATGCAGTATATCAACGTGATTTCATAAACAATAAGCCTATTCTTGGAGCAATTAAGTATACTTAACTAATTATGTCAACATAAAAATCATGTGCATGCAGTTCTGGTCAAATGTACGCTATCTGATAATAAACAGAAACTAAATTTGAAAATTGTCGCGGGGCGGGGAGGCGGGGGATATAATGGTTTACAAAAATGCTAGAAGTGTTTCGGATCCAACAAACAAAAATAATCATAACAACAACAAAAAAGGGCAGACCCAGTGCCGGAGGCACCCACATGAGTGGGGTCTGGGGAAGGGAAAAACCGAGGCAAGCCTTCCCCCCGCAAAATCTGCGGAGAGGCTGCTTCGAACCCGTGACCTGGTGACTCAGTGAGAACTCTCACCACTGCACCAGGCCTGCATCAAATATGTATTTATCTAACACTGTTCAGTTTCAAATGGAACAAGCAAAACAAGCAGCGAAAACAACCATGTATGGTTTTGTTACATAGTTCTTTGCCTAATCTTTTTTAAAAATGAAGTAATGGAGAAGACTTAGTTTTATGGGAATATGGTGTTTCTACACCTACTACAAGGTGCAATTGTGATTTTACTCTGTGATTTTGCCCTCAAGATTTTGAATTGAAGCAGTTGTTTGCCCCTGGTTTGTGACGGTGTTAGTGTTGGTGGATTAAATGACGAAAAACATAAAAACAAAATATGTCCACACGAAAAGACAAAACTACCCTCACCTTCACATTCCCCACACCATACCCTCCCTACCCTTTCACTTTCCCCAAATCAAGAGTCAAACCCTAGCTGCGGCCGCGGTGGTGGCATGGGCGACTGACAACAACGTGGTGGCGATGAGGCCGCAGTAGCGCGTGCGGTTTGCAGCTTGGCTCAAGTGCAGTGCAGTGTGGCCGTGGGGTGGGCTTGGGCGATCATGATCTGCTACATGGGCGTGTCCGGCGGTGTGACGAAATCGAAGGTGATGCGGCGTGAGCGATGCGGTGAGCGCAGAGAACGGAGGAGTAGATGGGACTGGGAATTGGAACGCAGAGGGTAGCGAGGAACCTCGGCGGTGGGAACTTCTCCAGTGTCGGCGGCTGAAACGCCCGCCGCCACCGTTGAAGGGTAAAACCCCACCCCAATACCCAGGGAGGTTTATTCCTTCTTCGATAGAGATTACAATCTCCTAGGGTGCCCTTTATAATATAGGTGCACTGCCAACAATAATAAAATCAATCTATAAAAATCCTCCCTTTCCAAAACAGCCGAGCCCAGCCACGGCTTGGGCTGGGGACTTGTTTGGGGCGACGCCTGTACTGGCGGCCCACAAACGAGTCCACAACACTTCCCTCCTCCCCGACAAACAGCTCGTCCGTGAGCTGAAACACAGGATAGCGATCCTTGAAGTCTTCCACAGCTTCCCAAGTGGCATCAGCAGGTGTGCAGCCCGCCCAATGAACAACGAGCTGCCAGTGGCCACGGTTGAGGCGAGCACGGACCACAGCAGCCGGTGTCGGAACCACCCGGCCATGGAGGAGCAAAGGCAGTGGAACCAAGGTAGACAGCAGCTCCCCCACAAACTTGTTCAAGAGAGCGACATGGAAAACATCGTGAATGCGCGCCTTGGGGGGGAAGGCGCAAGCAATAGGCCACTGCCCCAATACGCTCAATCACCTGATATGGTCCGAAGAAATGAGGCCCGAGCTTGGATGGCGAAGCAGTAGTGATGCCAACAGCCGTGCGGTGGTGGAGACACAGCAACACCCAATCACCCACAGCATACTCGACTAGGCGGCATTTCTTATCTTGATGCTCCATCACGTCCTGGGCCAAACACAGCCAATCCCGGATCTCAGCCAAGAATTCATCACGGTCACGAAGCTGCCGATCCACTGCAGCCACCCGGGCCGAACCAGGAAGGTAACACGCCAAAGGTGGTGGCGGTCTGCCATAGACCACCTCAAAAGGAGTGGCACTGAGAGCAGATTGGAAGGAAGTATCGTAACTGAACTCTGCCCATGGTAACCACCGGAGCCAAGAACGCAGCCGATCACCAGCCAAGCAGCACAAGTACATCACGATGATGCGATCGGTCACCTCCGACTGCCGATCAGTCTGCGGATGAAATGCCGAACTGCGCAACAACCGGACATTAGCCAACTTAAAAAGCTCTTCCCAAAAATTGCTGGTGAACACCGTGTCGCGGTCACTAACAATGGAGCAGGGAATCCCATGGAGGCGCACAATATTGTCGAAGAAGGCACGGGCTACCGAACTCGCTGAATATGGATGACTCAAGGCGATGAAATGAGCCATCTTGGAAAACCGATCCACCACAGTGAGGACCACCGACTTCCCGCCGACTCGCGGAAATCCTTCAACGAAATTCATGGCGATGTCGCTCCACACATGTTCTGGAACGGGCAAAGGCTGCAGCAACCCAGCCGGATGTAAATGCTCTGTATTGTTCCATTGACAAACAGCACAGCCACGGACGTAGTCACGGACCAAGCGATGTGCACGAGCATTGAAGAAGGACGCCCGGAATCGGTGAAGAGTCTTCTGCGCCCCCTCATGGCTGCCATGTGCCTCCTGCAGCAGACACGGCCACAACACTGAGGCTGATGGATAAGTCTCATGTGTGGTCTTTGTGGGGCTGTACTGCTCACATGGTCCTTGTGGCTGTTTTTTCTGCTTTTAGGACAGCATCTTAAGACTAGAGGACAGCAGGACAGCATCTTAGAGGACAGCATCTTAGCTAGGACAACATCTTAGCATCTTAGACTAGCATCTTGGCATATGCTTGGCTGGCTAGCAGCCTATAAATATGTAACCCCAACCCCTTAGGTTGGCATGGCATTTGTGTGAGTTTGTGTGAGAAATAGACAAGAAAATTGCCCCAACTCCTAGTGTCATCCTCTCTCGATGAGAGTAAGAATTCTCCTACTACCAAGAGTGATAATTCAGCGGCTAACAAGTGGTATCAGAGCAGATTATCTCAGTAGCTGAGCATCTCTGCTCATCTCCCTCCACCACTAACACAATTTCAACAATGCAGCAAGCCGGACTCCGACCGCCTCCTGCTCACTTCTCCCATGCAGACGAAAGCAAGCGGCTCTGTCAAGCGCCCTCTCTCCCACACAGCAGCCCCCAGTAGCGCGTCATGTCCGCAGGCGATCTCGGCCTTCAGTCGCCTCGAGCACGCTGGCGTCGGTAGGAGGCCGAACTTGCATGGCAGAGGAACGCGAGCGAAGCGGGCAGAGAGACTGGCTGGCAGCAGCAGCAAGCGTGCGAGGTGGCGGTGCGAGCATGAGGAGCAGCAAGCAGAGCGGAGGCGAAGCAATGGCGGCGGCGAATGCAAAGCGCGGCGGGCGGCGGCGAGGTCGAGGCTTCTGCGCGGCAAAGATCGGCGGCACCATTTCTCGCGACGACACCGCCGACGCGGACCTCGAGCTGCTAGAGAGGGAGGCAAATGGCGAAGCTTGGCGGGCGGCGCGAAGGCAGCCGCAGACGCCACGCAGCGTGGCGGCGGCAGAGACGAAGCGGACGCTAGCTGGCGGCGCTCTGGAGGAGGCGCGACGGCGGTGGTGCTCTCAGAGGGCAACGCGACGCCACGCAGCGCTGGGCGGCAGTGAACAGGTAGCGGCGGACGCGCCGGTGGCGCTCCTGGAGGAGGCGCGCACGGCGGCGGCGCTCCTGGAGGAGGCGCGCACGGCAACGGTGGCGGACGGGTCGATGGAGAGCGCGGCCTTCACGCGAGCGGCGTGGCTCTCTCCCGGATCGGTACCGACGGGTCGATGGAGAGCGTGGCCTTCACAGTGCATCGTGGCTCTCTCTCCTGGATCGGTACCGTGGTTACCACGGACTCTGTGTCGTTGTCGGGGGCGTCGGTCCCGGCGGTGGGTGGCCTACCTCACCAAGACCAACTCACGCCGAGTGGGTGCGGTGATGAGGGTAAAGCTCCAGTGCGGCACATGTGGGGGAGGCGGTCCGATGCGGCGACGTCGACCACGACCTAGATCGACGAAAGGCTGGATGCTCTCATCGCTGCAGCCCCCGCCGAGATGCGCTTCGCTTACCAAAGAAGCGGACCGCCAAGGGGGCTTGGGACGCCATTTACTGCACGCGCATCGGCAATGACCGCGCCGCGCAAGTCCACACTACGGAGCACTTCGCAAGGAGTGGAAGAACCTGGCCTTCAAGCCAGGTGAGGATGTTGATGACTTTGCTCTCCGTCTCAACACTCTATTGCAGAAGATGGTGCAGTTCGGCGACGACACCTACGGCGAGGAGAGAGCTGTCGAAAAGCTCTTCCGCTGCGTCCCCGAGAAGTACAAGCAGATGGCTCGCTCGATCGAGTCTCTGCTGGATCTCTCCACGATGTCGATCGAGGAGGCGATAGGTCGCCTCAAGGTCGTCGTCGGCGCCGATGAGCCCTGATCCTCTCGGGGCCCATCACCACCTGGCGGGAAGCTCCTTCTCACTCGGGAACAAGTGGCTTGCCGGCCCAAGGTGGCCCTGGAGGAAGGGGAGTCTTCTTCCGCGACAGCGGCCGCATAAGCGTGGCAAGCCGCGCAAGCGCGCGCGAGACGCCAGCCGGGCGGCGAGGACGTCGCCGAGGGTGATGCCCGCGAGGCGCTTAGGCGGCGGCGCCGCCGGCAGCACAAGCCGACGCGAGACGACACTGCCGCCAGCTGCGCGCGGCTTGGCCATTGGGCCAGGGATCGGCGATACCACGACGCGCCGAGCCCACGCCTGGCGGAGGAGCCGGCTCTGTTTCA